TATCATGCTGTTGACCTTCAGCCAAAGATTAAGAGCATGTTAGGAATTTGTTTCGTCTCCAAATCCTATGTGTCATTTTTCACCACTTTTTATTGTCTGTCCAAACAGGTCTCACTTGTAAACGAGTCTCCGAGGCTCAATGTGATTTATCTAATTAAATAAAGGTTGGAAAAAAAAAAAACACTAATAAAAAACAGTACTGCTTATACACCTGTTGACAAACTACTATGCGATACAACAATTTATAGCAAAGGACTGGACAAAAAAATATCTTGTATGAAGTTTGACCTTGATTTGTGACCACACAACACTCTGTTTAAAGAAAATGCACATGGTTGAAGTGTCATTAAATTATCTTGAATAGATCAGGAGTTAAGGGTGGGACAAGATAAAGTTTACAGACGTACAGTCGGAAATTATACTGTAACATGTCCGTCTTTGACAGGTGTATAAAAAGGATTGCTTTATTTATGACAACATGATGTTAACATTGTCAGACATGTTACACAGGAGGGATTTTATTGAAACTATCAAAGTTTTTATTTTGTATAAATCTACAACTACAGACAATTTTGGGTCAACCTACTGTAAGATGGTTGCCCAAGCTAAACAACCTTAGCAAAACACAAAAATGGCTATATTTCAGTCACTTATACAGATTTTGAGCTAAAACTTGATGTGGTAGTAGCCAAGACGTACTCCATGTGCTTTACATTGAGCAGCCTCTTAGTGGTGCATTCACACTAGCCCTGTTTAGTCCACTTTAATCGAACTCTAGCTTGTTTACCTAGAAAGTCCGGCTCGTTTAGGGAGGTGTGAACGCGCCATCGAACTCTGTCATGGAACAAAAAGGCGAACTCTGGCCCGGGCTAAAACCTATGTCTCAGTCCGGTAGAAGCGAACTCCAGCACGGTTCAAGTACAGTGTGAATGTAAACAGACCGAGCCCCGCTCCGCAGGACAAACAAACACGCATTTATCTGACCTTATATGGAGCCGTCAGCTGCCTTGTGTGGAAAAACAATATTCTCCATGGTCTTCTGTCTCATCTTCTGCTCATGCTAAGTCCATTTTTGAAAAATGACTAAATATAACTCCTAAAACTGCTAAAACTTGATGCCACTTCATTTTATTTTTATTTACAGAAGAAGAAGAAGAAGACGTGTCTTCCGAGGTTTTTGTGTCGTTTCTTTCAGTAGTTCTTGGTGCAGCGCCCCCACAGGCGAGAGGGGGAATAGGTTGGTTCAACAGGTTGGCTCGACTGCACAGTGCAGTGTGAATGCAAACGCACCAGCTCAAATGTAAACTAAAGATCATGAATATTGGTCCCGAACCGAACCGAGTCTACCGGACTATCTAGTGTGAAAACGACCTTAAAAGTTTTCATTAAATGTTGGTAAACTGGTTTGTCTGTTACTAAAACACCACATGAATCACCAGATCAATTTTAATGACATTCTCAGAAATTAATAAGTGAATGTGGATCTATAACTTTTAAAGTCAACTATTTTGAAAATGGATGCTACAGCTAAGCTACAACTCTGATATATCCAATTGAAATTGGGTGTGGTTGTAGGTACAACTTTTTTCCAATACATGTTTGCAGCACCAACACATTTTCTGAGCACTTGCAAAATTCCATGCGTGTAATGGCTCCAATGCTATCACTATTCATCATAAAACAATCTTAGTTTAACCTAAAACTTGTGGGTCATTTTGACCCAAGGGCAGCAGAAAGGTTAACATTTTGTGCATGAAGGTGCAGAATGAGATGGCTCAGGGGTTGCTTCTAGCTCTCGGGCCATACACCTCCTGAAGCAGGACTGAGGATCTACCCAATATCAATGGTGTTTATGAATTATTTTAAGAAATATGCCTATGTTTAAAGGCCAAAAGCAACTGCCAACACTTGGAATTTGAACCAGTGCTGCATGAAACATGAGCTGACCTCCAGCCACAGGTGAGTTGTCTGCTCTGGCTTAAATGTTTTCACCACCGCTGCAGGCTTGAAACTGCTGCCTTCCGTTTTGTCCATCTGTTAATTTAGCTGTGTATTTATTTGTCCAGAGATGAGTGGTTAGTGCCATTGTTTACATCTGCTTTGTTGTCCTCCCCATTGTGTTTATGACACAAATCAAATCAGTGTGAAAGAGGCTGACTGGTTGTGGGTTTGTTGCCCGTATCGCCGACGTCAGTCCTTATGACACTTTGCCCTGTGGTGCTTCTTAGTGAAATCCAACAGTGAGCATCTGGAGCAGGTTTAGCCCCAAATCCCAGAGTCCCTTTGATGAGGCTGGGAGCGTAATGGATCTGAATTCCTGTGGTGTCCTGTGGGTGCCAGGGGCTGTTGAATAGCTGGCCCTTAGCCTAGCATCAGCAACGTGATTGGTGTTGTGATCTGGATGATGCAGTGCCTGTGTATTATTGGGGATAGCACTCGGCTTGGACTTTCTTTCCATGACCCCCAGCGTGAAAGGCAGCTCGTCGTGTCACTTCACTGAACTCAACACTTCAGTTATCAATTTACCACCAAGAGTTTAACACCAGCTTTTTATTGGCTAAGAACCGCGACATAAGGGGGGAAATTAGTCGTGACTGAGAGACTAATGCTGGGTAGAAATTATACAGTTTAGTTCAGAGGGGAATCTAACAAAGGTATTTCTCAAAATACTGTTTTTACCCCTTCTTTTGAACAAACAGTAAAAAGGCCCTGTTTAAACAAATAATTGGATAAAATCAAAAAAAAAAAAAATAGTTAAAGCTTTTATAACATTTTATAACTGACATTTTTAGGTATAAAGAAAGGAAATGATAGGAAAGCCCTTCCAAATTTCCAGCACTTGCAGTGTAAAGAAAATATAAATAAATGGGCTCCAAAGATAGGGAATTTTAAATAATTTACAAGTATAAAGCCAAATTTTGCGTACCTCCACTGGCTTTATGGTTGCCATTTGAGACATATTTACTTTAAACCATTTACTTCCTGCACGCCTGGTGCAAAGTGGATGTTATTCAGATGGGGGTCCTTTAGCTTTC